CCACACATCTTCACCACCAGCCAAGGAAATTTCCAGAGGGGGCGGACTCCCTCCCCGCCCGGCCCCATCCTGTGGAGTCAGATCTCTGAGATCCAGAGGACACAGTGATGGCAAACGCTTTCCTGTACCCAGGCGCCACCCAGCTTGGCTTCAATCAGCTCTCAGCAGCAGTTTTGTAAAACCATAGCCAGGCATCCTGTCCACATTCAGTCCATGTGCATCGCCGGCTCCCCGGGACAAGGTCTAGACTTCCCAGGGGGTGACAAGCCAGGCCTCTGTGGCCAGTCACTCCTGTGTGCTTCTTACCTCCTCACCCTCCGTCTCACAGACCATGAAGCCAGGGGCATCACCTTGGAATCACCTGGGAATCGTGAACCAGGCTTCTCGCCCCACTCCAGGCCTGAGCTCAAACCTTAGGGGTGGTTCCCAGGAATCTGCATTCTTATCAGACTCCCTGGGGCCCTCTGGAGATGGCTCCTCTCCTGACAGCCACCAGAATTAGCTGTTCCTACCTCAATGTTCCCCGGAGGAGACTCCTTTGCCTCTTGACCAGGGGCCTAGGTCAGATACAAAGATGAGACCTCTTCCTCATCCATCCAACTGCAACTGTGAGCTGGCCTCCCAATGAGGACGGAAGCACACATTTCTCTTAACCTTGGAATTATGAAGACCCTGGGACTGAATCCAAGGGCACTTTACCACTGAGCTACACCCCTAGTCCTTTTTATTCTTTGAGTCAGGGTCTCACTAAATTGCTGAGGCTGACCTTGAACTTGCAATCCTCCTGCCTCAGCCTCCCAAGTCATGGGGAATATAGGCATGTGCCACCACACCTGGCCTGACCCGTGATTTTGCTAAAGATTCTTTGCTTCTGAGAACACAGAGACCCCCATGTTCACCTGCAGAGATGTGCATAGTCAAAGTTCAGATCACCAAGTGCCTGGAGTGCTAAGACTTGGGCCGGTCACCTCTCCTGACCTCCAGCCTTCTGTGGATCAAGCGAGGCCTGCTGAGTCTCTGGTTTGATGGCTAATGCTGTGCCGATACATCCTGGGGCAGGGGCACTTCAGCACCTTGGTCAGTTCAGCTGCCGTCTCTGTCTGCAAGCAAGGAAGGTGGGAGGGAAACAGAGAGAGATTTAATGGCTCTTGAAGGCATGTCACCTGGAATTTTAAAGAAAGTCTTTGAAGCTTGTCTGAACTTTGCTGTGTTATCTGTGAGGCAGCCTCTAGGGAAGCGATTAGCTCAGCTGCCCTTTGAGTAGGTGGCCTCTAGTGGAGGCTGGAAGGGGGTGACTCTGGGTGGGCTGCACAGCTGCCCGGGAGGCCTGCATCCCCTGCATCTCTCCACTGAGCCCAGCCCTGTCCTCCGCACCACACGTGGCCTCTCTGTCTTGGCAATAGTTTCCTGAGCTCTGCGCTTCCCTCTTGCTTATGGACACCCTGATGAGCCATCTCCTGCTGTCCCTCCCACCCAGGCAGGGGTACCTGTGCTACAGGTGACAGGACCCAGGTACCTGCAGAGATGGGAGCTCAGTCCACCCCGTCTTTGAGCCGCCTGACTGTCTTGCGCAAGTCACTTGGCTCCTCTGAATGCCTGTCATTCGCAGAACAGGCTCGTGACAGTTAAGGAAAACAGGAAGTGGGCCGAGTGGAAGGATGAAATTCTCAAAGTGCTTGCCCAGCACTCCGTATCCGGCCACTCTCCCCTCTGCCCGGGCTGGAGGGGGGTCAGAAGATGGAGACTTGTGGGGAAACCTGTCCAGAGTGGCTAGTGACCTGGGGCCATGTGTCAGTTACTCGGCGTCTCTATGACCTCATCACCTAACATGAACAACCTCGGGAGGAAGAGCTGAGCTTGGCTCTTGGTTTGAGTTTCAGTCCAGGTCAGCCATGCATGGCTCTGGGCCCCCAGTTAGGTGGAGCACCAAGGCTGAAGGGCAGCGGCAGGGGAGAGCTGCTCACCTCATGGTGGGGGTGGGGTCGGAAGTAGAGAGGGAGGGAGCGAGCCGCAGGGAACATGCGGCCTTCTAGTCACTCCCCACCTGTCTGCAGTTACCACCCAGCTGTCCACTCAAACTAAATCGGACCGATTAGGCCACAGCTCTCAGAACCCCATCCTTTCTCCTCTGAGCGTTCCTGCATCAACACAGACCACGATCAGCGTCTGGGTGGGCGATATTAAGGTGTGACGGCTCCTGTGACCTGACAGTGCCTGGCATCTCACAGTCTGGCTACTGCCTCCTTGGGCTCCTCTCTGTGAGGGCAGGAGGATCCAGTTCACCTCTCCTGACCTCTCACAGCCCTGAAGACAGGACCAGATGCTACTGGACGAGTGGGTACTAGGCCCCTCCTCTGTCTGCAGAGGGCTTGCTTCCCGTCAGGTCTGTGCTAGGTCTTCACCAGCATGGCCTCGTGCAATCTCCACACCGCACAACGATGCTACCAGGGTGGGGGGATTCTGGTACTATGCCCATTTTGCTGAAGGTTAGAGAACTTGCCCAAGGCTACGTGCTCAGACACCAGAAGCCAGGATTCAGCCAGTCTCGCCCAGACTTGCTCATAATCACTCTGTCTATAACCAAAGTCAGCCCAGGACCGTACTTTTTGGGGCGTACTTGTTAGGACAAGTGAGCCCAGGGACTTCCAGGCCTTGCATGTGTGGTGTGGGGTGCCAGGTCAGAATCTGGCCTGAGACCAGGCACCCTGCAGTGGGCACAAGCCCCAGCCTGTGACTTGGACAAATTTGTCCGTTCATTATCCACATATTCATTGAACAAGCATTTATTGAGCTCTACCGTGTGCCTGGCACTGGTCTAGGTTCTAGCCGGGAGTGAGCCTGGTTAGTTAGACTCCCTCCCCTCACTGGCCTTGGGTCTTAGTGGAGGACACGGTTAGAGACAGACACATGAGTCCTGTGAAACAGAACGGGGCAGGAAGGAGGCAGGGTGACAAGGGAGGCCTAGTGGGCGTAGATAGTGTGGCCATGTGGGAGCCAGGGAGGCCTGAGGCCTGGGCGCAGTGCAGGCTTGGCCAGCAGCTCCTGGGGAGGGACCCCCAGCTCTTCCCCAGCAGGGACCCTGCAGGCCACCTCTTCTCATCCTGTCTGCTCCCGCTTCCTGCTTCCTGCTGGCCCTCCAAGGCTCCGTGGTCTCATGTGTCCTCTCCCCTCCTGCCCCACCAAGTGCCCCTACATTCAGACCTCCTCACCTGGCTTTGGAGCCTCTGCAGGTGGCCTGCGTCCATCACCTCTGCCTCCTCCAGCCATAGCATATGATCGGCTCCTTCCACAGGATTCACTGAGCTCCCACAGTGCCCCGGACCCCAGGGCATGAGTCAGGCAAAGCCCCTGCCTGCAAGGCACTCGCCTCCAGAGAGCCAGGTGTCAGCTCCGACAGCAGAGGCCGGGGTGATGTGACCCACAGGCCACGGGGGAGCCCACGAGCAGAAGGGCCCTGGGAAGGGCCCTAACACAACACAAGAGGGCGGTGGAAAACTTTCTAGAGAAGGTGCGTCCTCCTTGCAGTCTAGGGGACAATGGCTTAGCCAAGTGGGAGGGCCGTACTGCACTGGGTGGAGGGAAAGGTCAGTAAAAAGGACCAGGAAGGATGGAGAGAGAGCTCAACACGTATAGAAACCAAGAGTGGTTCAGTCAAGGTGCCAGGGAGACGGTGACCGGAGAGGGTGAGCTGGGCCACCCTGCCCCTGCATCCATCCACCTGTCCTCAGTACACCTGCCCCCCATCTTCCCATCATGCACTCTGGGTGGGGTGCTGCATCCTCTCAGAGGAAAAGTCCTGACTTGGAAGGTGGGAAGTTGCAGGCTTGAACCGACCTCTGTGGCTTGGACAAGGTTCTTCAGTTCTCGGTATTTCAAAGGGGTGACAATCAGCCAGGCTCCATGGAGTTAATGCAGTGGTTAAATGAGGCCCCCTGACTGAGTGCTCAGCACCGTTGACTACACCGAGTCTACGTCCACCCCCCTGACCCCCACGCCCCCAGCACTGCATCCTGCATCCATTGAATGGAGCCCAAATTCCTCAGGCTGGCGTTCAAAGGGCCCTGAACCCAGGTCCAGCATCCAGTTCTGACCGGGTCTCACCTCCAGCGTCCTGAGCCACTGGTGCCTTCCTAAGCCTGCCCTGCTGTCCCTCCATCTCAGAAAGTTCACCTCTCTCCTCACCCTCTCAATCACGTCACTCAGCCTTCAAGAAAGGTCCAACAAAACAGCAGAAGTGATTGTCACCGCCTTCTGAAAATGGGGAGGGGAAGCCAAGCCCTGCTTGAACTGCGCCCCTCAAAGCCTCCTTCCCCTGTCGAATCCTCACAGTAGACGTGACAGGGCCTTCGCCAGGGGCTGCCCGGGAGGCGCCATCTTCTTGCCCCCCTCTGACTTCCCCTGAGGGTCCTGGCTGCTCTTGTTCAGATTCTCCTTTCTGTACTTGTAGCATGGTGAGGGTGTCACTGAGATTGTCCCCGACTTGAGCACTAGATGAGGACGGCCAAGCAGTGCTCTCACTAACTGAGTAGTCTGGAGGGCACCTGGGGCCAGCGGCAGGGAGGTGGCTCCCAGGAGGGGCCTGTTTGTTCCTCCCATGCTGGGGCCAATCTGCCAGTTTGAGTGGCATCTGAGTGACCTGGGGAGGTGCAGGCCCTGGGGAAATGCAGATCCAAAACCTGTATTTCCTAACCAGGCGAGGCAGATGCTGCTTTTGGCAGATTTCAAGTCCTACTACGTGGGACGATTAGACTCCTCTCACAGGAACCTCCTGGCCTCTGGGCTTCCTAAACAGCGCCCACTGACTGAATGCTTTCCCAGGCTTTGAAAGTGAGGCAGAACAGCACCCAGTTAGCCTGGGTCCCTGCCCAGCAGGGCTTGGGGTTGAAACTGGACAGTGATTGGAAAGAAATCCACTTCTTTAGCGGCCAATCAGACCCAGGGTGTGACTCAGCCCTTCTGAGAGCTGTTCCTCTACCTGGCTGTATGGCTCACCTGCAGCTGGTGGAGCCTGAACATGGAGATGGGTTTCACCACCTACAACAAACCTCCAGGGCGTGCATGGCCTCCAGAAGAGTATCCCCTAGAAATTATTCATATTTCAATTTCATATTTGTCTTAAAACTTCAATTGGTTTAGTCATAACAATAGATAGAAATAGTTCAAAACATCCAACACACTAAAAGTCTTGTGGTGGAGAGTGGAGGGTCATTATCCCACCCCCTCAAGCTCCCTGACTGCCTTCCAGTGGCACCCCGAGAACACTGTTACCTGTTTTTTTAATAATTCCCCCATATTTGAAAATAATCGGGTATGACACTACTTCTAGATTCATTTGCTTTTAATACTGTCCACTCCTATGATAGTTGAGATCTTAGCATTCTTATACCAATATCTCTCCCCTTTCTCTATTCTACCAATATAAGTATAACCCAATTTTTGACTAACTCACTGGTTAACATTTGTATTATTATGAGTATATATTGAGTATTTTTCCTTCTTATACGACTTTATGTTTTTCCTAGTGTTAATCATTTCTTGTTATTTTTTCATTTGCTTAGAGTTTTTTCCTATGCCTATGATTAATCTTTTCCAAATGTTCTAATATTAAAGAGCTATAATAAATTTGCAAAATTCTCATATATATCACAGACATTCTAGAAACTCTATTTTCCTGCCTCGGCCCTCTAACCTATTCCTTCCAACTAAGTGGGTAGTTTCTGATCCTGGTCTAGAACGATCCTCCTGGGCTCTTTGCATTTGATTCCCGAGTAGGATCCTTTGTTTCCTGGACTTTGCATCTTTCTCTTCTTGGTTTATTTCTTCATCTTGTTGAATAATTTCTTCTAGTACTTTCCTAAGAGAGAAACAGGGAGGTTAAAAGCTTTTGAAACATTTCACATCTAAAAATGTCTTTATTCTACCTTCACACCCCTATAGATAGTTTAGCTGGATACAGAACTTGAGTGAATATTTTTTTCCTAAGGATTTTGAAGGCACTGTCCTCTGGCATCTGGCACTGCTGATAAGAACCCTGATGTCACTTTTATTTGAGTTATTTCTCTCTGAGAATTTTTACAATCTTCTTTTTGTTTCATTTTGAAATCTTTCCATTCTTTGGTTTGGGTCATTTTCTTTTGTTGTGCAGAGACCTCAGTCCTGTATCCCCCTGTCAACCTACATATTAATTTTCTCTCATTCTGAGAATTCATTGTGTCGCTCCTTTGGTAATTTTCTCCCTCTCATTTTTCTATTCTCACACAATTTCTCTGAAACTCCTTGCAGTCAAAGACCACTCTTCTAATTCTGATTTTAATCTTTCTCTCCTTTCCTCTATCTTTATTATTTTGTTAATTTCTCAAATTTAGCTTACATCTTGTCTAAGACATTTTTTTAGTTTCATATTTTCAATTTCTAAAGGTTTTTCTCTGTCCCTTTCTCCTAGCATCTGTTCTTGTTTGCTAGTTGCAATACTTGCACCTGTGTTAATGATAGGGGTTTTTCCCCTTACATTTTGTTCTGCTGTATGTTTTCTCTGTTGGCTCCAGATTTCTTATTTTTCTTTGGTTTCTTTCTGCCCCTCTCCTCTGTGTTAGAGACTTTTTCAAATATCTGCTGCTTTCACTCATGTTTCAAAAGATGAACAGAAGCCTAGGTGAGGGGCAGGTTCCACACTCAGTTGAGTATATATGCAGCGTTTCTGTGGGGAGAGCGCCCCCATCAGTGTGTGCCTGACTTTTCTCTTGGAAGCAGGTGCTATTCTGGGTATAGATCCGCTGCAGGTGATGGAGGGCTCTGAGGCTGGTTTTCCTGTGTTGCCCTCTTGGCTCGCTGCCATCCTGGAATTACCACGGGTCCACTGATGTGCAAACAAGCGTGGACTCCCCCTCCCGTGCGAGGGCTGGCTGGAGCGAAGCCGTGGTGTGTAGTCTTTCTCCAGATCTCTCCATCTTCCATCTGCGGCCTCACCCTGCCCAGTGGTCCCTTTGTGCTGACCCCCACTGGGGGTCTGGGGGTGAATGTCCTCAGTGCCCCATGGAGGCTCAGAGGACTCTTGGTTATTCCATCTCCCAAAGCTGGACTGGAAGTCTCATGCCGCTCTTGCCACTTTCCCCATGTCCTCACCCTCACAGCCGCTGCCTTGGTAATGCCTGTGCCCCCAGGTCTAGGAACTGGAGAAGACAGACAAGTGCGGACTGCCTGCCATGTTGGGAAGTTTCCTTTAAAAAAAAATTCTCTTCTGCTCAATACAGAAGATGCAATTTAGAATGATCCAGTTGTAAGGTCTGAAAACACTCTAAGCAAAGCTTGAGCATTCGTCTCAGAGCAGGGAGCTGAGTCTCACCTAGCCACTGACTGTACCAGGATGACCTGGAAGGAAGCTCTGGAGCCGTGGTGGAGGAGAGGTGGCTGTGCATCAGGATGCCCTGTGATAGTTTTTAAAAATCCAGAACCTTGAGCCCTGCCTCGGGCCTTAGAATCCTTAGATGCATGGGGTGCAAAAGGATCGCACTGAGCCAAATTTGGAATCTTTGAGAGACTGAGGCAAGGGTCAGACAACACCTCTTCTAAGTGTCAGGGTTGGTGGGAGGGCCCGGCCCTATGAGCAGGAAGCAGGCTGCTCGGTCCCTGCCACCTCCACCCACAGGAACATTTGGGTCTGTAGAGTGGGCACTCACCCAGGGTGGCTGCCACTGCCCGATGCAGGGGAAGGGGCAGAGAGAGGCCTCACCCCTGCGTGTTTAGGCCCTTACTAGATCAGCAACTCCACCAGCCAGCATGGACCAATGGCTGTCGCCCAATAACCCAGTACCCAGCTGTGCCTTGGGAGGAGCCTGGGCAGGGCAGGAGGCCAGGAGCATGTAGCCAGGTCCTCCTGGGAGCCCAGGGCAGTGGGAGCTAGGGCTGCCCCTCCTGCTTACTGCAGCAAGCAAATGGCCAAGTCTTCAAGGAGCTTCCACGCTTGAGTCCCCTGGGCACAGCGGCAACTTGGGTTGTGTGAGCCGGTAACAATGACAGCTGCTGACTGTGACGAGGAGCCAGGCCCAGGACAAGCACTTGATCCCGTGCAGGCTGTCACAGGGTCCTGTTATCCTGCTTCACTGATGGGGAAGGGGCTCATGGGAGTTCAATGCCGGGTCCAAAATCACGAAGGGAGCAGGCAGTTCTTTGGAGTCAAACCAGGTGGGTGGGCACCAAGTGCCCACACCTGCCCCTGCCCCGGCCCTCCATGGCTGGGCCACCTCCTTCAGGGGCAGGTGTGGCTGGGCTTTGGGATGGAGGACTGGCACAGTGAAGGGCCTCTCGTCATTGCCCCACCATGCTGCCTCAGCAGATGAGGCACTTCTCACTCTGGACTTTGACCTCCACCTCTTCCCTGTGGCCACCTGAGTCTTCAGTGCCAGTAGGAAAATAGTAGGAAAACCTTTGTCAGGCTCCCAGACAGAGTGATCCGCATTGACCCAAACCCCCTAAAAACTTGGATTTTTAGAGTCTGAAAGACTCAGAGTTTGTGCATCACAACAGCTTGGTCATAGAACGTGTTTGCCCCAAGTGCGTGTTTCTAGGGTTGTTTCAAAGGATCTTGCAGAAAAGAAATGATGGCTCACTAGAATTACAGGACGTTCATCAGAGAACCCACAAGTAGAAAATGAGCTTTGCAGAGATGACCTCACCCCTTCCAGAGTGCAGACACTGCCCCCTAAACTACCCTCGTATGGTTATATTCGCTATTTGTCAAACACACATGAAGCGCTCCCCACACGGGGACAGGTGAGCACACTGAGCAGCAGAGGCCTGGGGTGGAGCATCTGTGGTGTCCATGAGTGGCAGAGCCGGGATTCAGGACCCCAGCCCTCGACTCCTCCAGCACAGAGACTTGTGGGCTGCACCGTGGGGCTCAGAACCACAGGGCTCTGTCTCCTGCCTCCCAACCAGGCTTCTGCTCCAGCTATTTTGGTCCCTACTCTATTCTGAAATGATTCATTCACACGTTAAATGAATCCATTGTAGATTTCCTGTCTCCTTCTGATAATTTCACTTGTCAAGTTATTTTTCTCAATTCCATGTCAAAAACTTTCATATCTCCTTCCTCCTTTCTTGGGGGATAATAAGAAACATTTAAAAATTCAATTTCTCACATCCTAAGCTTATTCTTTTAGAAAGAAGTGTGTGTATATTTTTTTTAACACAGAAATGACAGTTCTCAAAAAAATCCAAAACCCTAAAGTTCATCATTTAAAAAAATGTTTTTCTAAGCCCTTGGTTACATCTTCACACTCACCCTCAAGTTTCTGTGCATGGAACTTGGCAAATTGGACGAAGGTGGAGTTTTGCTTTGGCTGTGTATTTTCCTCTTGATGTGTGTTTTGAGATGATAAAGGATGTTTCTTTGAAAAAGAAGAGAGAAAGAGAAGAAAGGGGACTTAATTTTCTAATCCAAAGTGATTCCGACATGTGTTATTAAGTTGTTTTTTTTTTTTTTCACTGTGACTAAAATACCTGACAAGGACAACTTAGAGGAGGAAAAGTTTGTTTTGGCTCCTGGCTTCGGAGGTGTGAGTCCTTGGTGGGCAGACTTCGTTGCTCTGGGCCCAAGGTGGGGCAGAACATCCTGGCAGGAGGGCCTGGTGGAGGACCCGCTCTGTTCTTAGCAGCTGGGAAACAGAGAGGTGGGGTGCGGTAGAGACAAAGGGAAGACGCACCCTTCCAGGCCATGTGCCCCGGGACCCGCTTCCTCCAGCCAGGCCCCTGCCCACGGTTACCATGTCATCCGTCCTTCCAACTAGAGGGACGGACTAGGTGACAGCTCTGGGAGTCTAATCATCACACCTCTAAATATTCCTGCGTTAACCCAGGAGATTCAGGGGCCAGGGGAATGAGCATGAAAATGACATGGGGACAGTTTCAGAAAATGACATTTGGGACAACAGAGATGAGGAAATCGGTGTGGACACCTGAGAAAGAAGTGGCTGTGACTTTTCAAAATCCGTGTTGGAGTCCTTTCAAGTTAATTAGCATCTCACTCAAAGGTGAGGAAGGAGTGAGGAAGAGGCAGTGGCCGTCCATTTTCCATTAGCTGCTCTGGTGAGGCTTGTGGCAGGAGAGCTGTTGGGACGGGCCCGAGGCGAGGGTCACTGGCGGGAGGGCTGGGTGGAGGTGCCGACTTCTGGGGTAGGCGTGCGTCTCCTTCCCCTGCCCCCACCAGTAAGTTCTGCAAGATCAGAACCCAACCCAGTGCCGAGGGTAGTCCCTGCTGCTCCCCTCTTCCTACCCCTGGCTGTATAGAGCCCAAGGCTGGCACGTGCTCTGCTGTTCTCCCTTGGGCCCCTCTTCAGCTCCTTCTGTCTGGGGAGGCCCTGGGATGACCGTTCATCCCTGGGAATCAGGACTGTCACCTGCCTAACTTTCTGCTTAGTCCAGCAATCTGCGTGGAAGCAGCATCTCTGCTGGTGATGGCTGTCCTCTGCTCGACCACAATGAGGGGCCCAATGAGGGGCTCTGACTGTCCTCTGAGTCCAGGGTGCCTCATGTCCAGTCTTCACGGAGGTCTGGGCCGCCCTCTCCCATTGGAGGTTCTGCACCCCGGGAGCTTTAAGCAAGCTGCGCTGGAGCTAGTGTCTTCATGCCTGCTCCAGCGACGCAGCTCCTTCCTGTGCACTCTCTTCTTCTCTCCCTGCAAAAAACACCTGGATTTTTAGCTCCTATCTGGTCTTTCCTTGGGAAACCTTGGATGACCTTAGATCCTAGACTACAAAAGAACACATTTAGCACTCAAAAAAAAAAATGCTCTTCATCTTTCCTAAATAACAAACACAGGTTTCTCAGAAGCAACAATGTGCATTCCCCCCATGCTTTCAAATCCTGCTAGTTTCTTTGCTTGTTATTTCCTGTTTGATTCCTATTTTACTCCTGTTAAACACAAGAATTGGAAAATAAGTTATGATTAAGAGTTGCTCCCATAGACTGAGAGGTTGTCAAATAAACACACAAAACAAGTGCAGATGCTGGCCATGGGAGGTATCATCACACAAACCAACCCCCCCACCACCACCAAATCAAACCCAGAAACCATCCCCACCACCACAACAAAATGTTAAAAAGGGAATAGAGGGACAAGAACATGCAGCCCAGGGGCATCCACCTCAGTGGCAGTTCAGTTCCAGGGCTGAAGGCCACTGGGCCACCCTCTTAATGTCCCACTCAGAGACTAAAGGCAAGGTGCAGAGCTAGGGGATTATCTAGCCTGGAGGTCATTATCCAAAATTGTCTAGACTGCTTGCTTCTCTGAGGGGCAGCACTGAAGGTGTGATCTCAGTGACCAGAAGAAGCAAGCCTGCACAGATGGGCAGGAGGGTTCTGGGCCAAGGGCAGCAATGGCAGGCCTTCCCATGGCATGTCCGAGGACATGAAGACAGGGCCAGGTTCTGGAGTGAACTGGGAAAGAAGTACGAGGTGGGGCCAGAGAAGCCACAGGGACTAGATACATATGTAAACATGACGTGGAGACTGCTGCTCCCAAACATGATTAACCCTCCCACCCTGAACCCCTTGGAGATTAGCAAAATCTGTGAAGCAGTTTTACCCACGGGACTGCAGTCAGGAAGGACAAGAATCAAACCAGAGGGGAAACAGGAGAATGGCCTTGCATCTTTCTCAGAGGAGTGATAGGAAAAATATCAGAGAAGTGGGGGTGGGGTGGAGGTGGGGGGCGGGAGAGAGAGAGAGAGAGAGAGCGCGTGCGCATGTGTAGCACTCTAGGTGCCAGCAGAGGTGTGCTCAAGTCTTGCTGGATAATGATCTTCACATGCATCCGATAAAGGGATGGAAACTTCAGAATAAAAAGTAAGCCCAAGAATATCAGGAGTTCACACACATCTGGAAATAATTTGGGTTTCAAATGGGCTCAGTGGAAAGACCTCCTCCTATGCAGGCATTAGGCAGAATCCTCAATAGTGGGGCTGAATTAGTCTGATATCGTGGGTGCTCAGAATTCCCTGGAATAGACTATAGAGCTTCTAAAGAGAAACTGATCTCAAGGACCTCGCTATGTTCAAGAACAAAATTCAATACTATCTAAAGAAAGAGAAAAATGCCACAAACAATCATGTAAAATTCACACTAACTAACACCCAATTTAAAAAAATTACCAGTCATGTAAATAAGCAAGAAAATGTAACCCACAGCTGGAAGGAGAATCAACCAAAGGAAACATAACCAGAAATATCAGAGATGATGGAATTTTCTGGCTATGGTGTTAAAGCCCCTGGTCCAGAGGCACTCCATCTGTAGCAGAAGGAAGAGGAAAATATGGGCATGATGAGAGGAACAGAAGATGGAAACAGACCCAAGCCAAGCCTCCAGAGATGAAAAGTGCAGTGTCTTATGCGCAAAGCATGCAGAATGGGATTAAGGGTCGATCGGACATCGTGGGAGGAAAGGTCAGCAACCTGAAGGTGGAGCACAGCTATCTAAATCGGAACACAGACGGAAAAAGACCAAGAAAACGTTCAACCTGAACTGGGCATTTAGGAAAAACCTGAAACGCTACACTTCCCTGGGGAAGATTGGATGCTGATTTAGTCAGCTTTGTCGCTGCTGTGACTAAAGGACCCAACAGAACAACTGTAGAGGGGGACGTTTTATTTGAGGGCTCTCAAGCTCCTCGGCAGGGCTTGAGGTGAGGCTGAGCATCATGGTGGAGAGTGCGGTGGAGGGAACCAGCTCACATCATGATCAGGAGCAGAGAGAGACTTTCCTGGCCACATATAAATATATACCCAAAGCCACACCTCAAGTCCCACCTCCTCCAGCCACACCCTGCCATTTCAATAACCACTCACTTAATCCCTATCAGGGGATTAATTCACTGATTGGGTTAAGATTCTTAAAACTCAATCATTCCTCCTCTGAACCGTCTTGCATTGTCTCACATGTGAGGTTTTGGGGACACCTCACATCGTAACAGATGCCTTTTCCTGAGACCTGGAATGAAGCAAGAATGTTATCTCTCATCATTCCCATTTAGCATTACAATCCAGGGCAATAAAGCATGAAATACAAATAAGAAACCTACTGTTTCTTTTTTAAAAAAAGGAATCAACACTGTGCGTATTTGAAGATGACATGGCCATCTGTATAGTAAATCCTAAAGATTCAACAAAAAAGTTAGAACTAATAATTAGCCTTATTCAGGTTACAAGACACTAGATCAGTAGACAAATATTGATTGTATTTCTGCATACTATCAACAAACAATTAGAAGTTGAAAAAAATCACATGCAATAGCATTAAAATGTGAAATACATATAAATTTATCAAAATATATGTAAGATTCTACACCAAGACATGAAAATACTGTTGAGAGACATTTAAAAAGATAAAGAAATAGAAAGATAAACCATACTCATGGAGTGGAAGACTTACTATTGTTAAAAGATCAATTTTCCTCAAATTTATCAATGATTCCAATGGCATCCCAATCAAAATCCAGCAAGCTTTTTAAAAAAATTGATAAGCTGATTCTAAAATTTATATGGAAATTAAAGGTCCTGGAATAGCCAACAAGGCCATTTGAAAAGAAAGAACACAATCAAAGGACTCGTATCACTTGTTTTAAGACTTATGGTTAAACTCTAGTAATCAGTACAGTATCTAGAAAATAGATCAATAATAAAAAGAGCAGAAAAGTTCAGCCAAACATGTCCACCAGTGGATTTTCAACCAAGGTGCTGAGGAATTCTCAGGAAGTGGTTCCTGGGGGCTGGACATTTGTATGGATCTGAGAGAAGCTGGGAGGTGGGTGATGGGCTTGTTCAGCAAGGGCAGGAGGAAGAGCTGGTCTGGGCTCTCTGGCTCCCTGCTCCTTCCTTGCAGAGATACTCTTCTTGACCAACAGGAGCAACACAAATGTGTTTTTCTGGGAATGTGCACAATCTTAAACCTTCCACTTTGCAATGCTTTGCTTCAGATAAACATTGTTTTCCACTTGAAAAGCTGTGGCCATTACCCAGACTCCAGCTCCCACACCCACTCATCAAAAAAACAAAACCAGGGAATCTTGGGCTTCGGAGATCCTACAATGTGTCACCAAAACCCTCACAGTTTGGTCTACCTAGAAGGAACAAATCTTGAGCTCCTCAGCAGGCGTAGAGCTCTCTCTGCAAAAGCTAGGGCTTACAATCCATCCTGCACTCACTGATGGCCAGTGATCTCCCACATGACCAGCTTCTTGATGAGCTGACCCCAGTGCATGAAGCAGGCTTGAGGGAAACATTTACCCAGCGCCATATTTAAAGGGCTTAAGAGAGGTATGTGCCCGGGAAGCATGGGGGAGGGACACTCTGTGTCTGTGGATACAGGGTGGCCCCTGCGGAGCAGGTACTGTTGCAGCTGGTTTAAAAGAGAAAGCAGGAGAAGGTCGGGAGGCAGGAGAAGTCAGAGGTCTCCCTGATGGAGTGAGCACCACCTCCCAAGGCCCAGTGGTCTCAGGGAACAGGAGCTCTTGGAGCAAGCTGGGACACAGAATGTGAAGGAGCCCCAGGCAGGAGCTGAGGCTGCCTGGCCACCACCCACAGTCCCTCGTATGTCAGGGTAAAGAGCAGGGGCTTTGTTCCAGTAGTTTCTCTTCCCAATGTGGTGTATTCTCTCCTTCTCAGAGCCCTGGACACAGGCCACACCGTGCTGGCTGGGCCCTGTGCTTACCCCATGTACTGGCTCACTTGGACTATGTGTCCTGGGAGGAGGGAAGTCCAGGAGGGGCCAGCGGCAAGAAGCCAGGCCAGAAAATCACCCTGGGTTTGCAGTCTCCTTACCTTCTTTGTCCTCCCGGCCTTTAAGGTGTCGCAGGTGAGGATGACTATACCCAGGGGCCACCCCTGCTTGCCAGGCCCCCTCAGGCTGGTATATGCTGGACCACAGCTCTGTGGAAGGTGGGTGCATTGAGAGCAAGGGAGTCAGTGCCACGGGCCTGTGCCAAGGTGCCCCCTACTACTGTTTTGCTGTCTCAGACCTTCCCGTCCTTTCTGGGAATGTCCACAGATGGAATGAATGATGTCCCGTACGAGTGGAGGGATTGATGTTTTCTTTATCACTTTGAAAATCAAGCTGCACACCTAAAGAGCGTCCCAATCCGAGGGTTCAGAGCCCCAGGGCATGTGCGATGGTGCCCGGAAGGGAAGGTGCCAGGCTCGGCATCAGCAGTTCTGCAGGACCTGATGGAGGAAGGGGGGAAGCCGACAGAAGGCAGGGCAGACCCCCAGCAGCCCCAAGGGACCTAGTGATGGTCACCAGCGCTGGGTGAAGGGCATCCAGGCCTTCTCCCTAGTGGCACAGACACCCACTGTGGGCTAGCTGGTGGGGTCACACCCGCGATGCTCATTTCGCCCTTCCTTCTAATTCAAGGAGATGGGAAGACAGTCCTAAAATCAGTCCCATGGTCTTGGGATCCTTGTCACAGCACACACCCAAGACAGTGAGTCCAGAATAGCACATTGACTGCAATGAATGGGGGCATCTTGGGGACTAGATGGCACTCTCTAGGCTCAGGTGTGGCCATGGCGGCAGACTGACCCTTCAGGGCCAGTGGCAGGTTGATGCAAACAAGGCTACCCACACGCAGCCTCCAGGGCTCTGTGAAGCTGTGGCCACAGGGTCCTTCCCTGGAGGCTGGTTGGGGATGGTGAGGGCTCCATGGGCATTCATGGACAGGTGCTGCCTCCTTGTGGGACCAGCTGCTGTGGAAGGGAAGAGTGTTCAGAGGGGTAGAGAGCCACCCTCTCCAGGGAGTGCAGGTTGCCCACACCCTGTCCTTCACAGGTGGTTGGCACAGGCTGTGCCTTGCCTCTCTGTGGTGGACCCTGTTTGGTAAGGGCTTGGGCTGTGGGAGCTGATCTTGAACAGTGCTGCTGAGTTCCCTGGAATGTCCTGTAGAGGCCAGGACTGGCTCTGTCCACTATCCTCTGCAGGAGATTCCCTTTCAGCTGGAAGCCAAGGTGAACCCTTTGGTGCTGCTTTGTTCTGAGAACCACAGGAGCTTAGGAACAAGGTCAAGAAAGTAGCCCCAGGCTCTCATCCAGCCGGTCCCCTCTTAGTGACAGCAAAGGACCATGACTTGGCTTGCACCAGAGGCTCTGGCCTCAGCCCCCATGTCTCCAGCATCCCCTGACCCTTCCTGCCTGGTGGTCCTGCCGCTGTGTGTGCACACGCTGTCCTGCTCAGGCTGTCCCATCTCCTCTCTGCCCCTCGCCCAGTGACACTCCAAAGGAAACCGTCCCTGGGCTGTGGCCCTCTCTTCTGATGATGTGGGGGAAATGGGGCTTGACTCCCACCTGTGTGGCACTGGCCAGAGGCCCCAGCACGGGTGTTTCCCTTGTCCAACCCCAGAGTGCAGCTGCAGAGCCGTCCCCTCCAGACTGCTGTGAGGTTGACTGTCAGAGACAATGACAGCAGCCCTCGCACCCAGCCTGGCACCAGCCAGAGCTTCCTCAGGTGGCCTTCCTTGCCTTTTCTGCCCTGCTTCTGCCTTTGCCCTTCCTGAGAAAGGAGCCAAACTCAGAGAGAAACAAAGTCACTGCCAACAACACAGCAAACAGTCATCCCTCCTGTGCACGCGGGGTGGCTCCTGGGTTCCCACGGGAACCAACATCTGCCAAAGCTGCAGCCCCTGCGTAAATGTGTCCCACTTGCATGTGCCCTCTGCTCACCCTCCCTTATGCTTCAAGTGCCCTCTCGGTTACTTACAGTAGCCAATACCACACAGAAGCTGTGTAAATGGTGTGACTCCGTCTCCTTTAGGGAATAATGACCACAGTGTTTTCAATGTTTCCAATCCACTAACAGAGGACGACTCTATGTCCTGCTTCTTTCTCCCATGGTTTCAAACTTTTAAATTGAGGTAATTTGCATATCATAAAATCCATCCTTTTACAATCGATGATTCAGCGGATTTTAGAATATTCACAGAGTTGCGGGGCCGTCAGCCTGACCTAATTCTAACATATTTCCATCACCCCCAGATGAAGCCCCTGCCCGTTAGCACTCTGCCCCACTGCCCGCTCTTTCTCCCTCTGGCCCTTGGCAGTCCCTGGCTGCTTTCTGTCTCCTCCTGGGAAAAGCCAGTCTAGTCCTGCGGGTCCCCCGACGTGCAGGCCCGTGGAACCAAAGCAGCTAGATGAATTGCAGTGGCCACTAGGTTCAGAAGGGGACCAGTGCCCAGTGCCCCTGTGGGCCTTCCCAGCTCACTCTGCACTTCAAGGGTCCCTGCTGCTCTGCCCTTGTGGGGTCCAGGACCTCGCATGGGGCTCTGCCATCAGGGACGCTGCAGGGAGGAATTCTGCAGGAGGAGGGGGAAGGGGCCACTGCTGGTGCCCAGGCCCTGAACTGGTGGAGGCTTTGCCAGGACTTGAAGTCCCTCCAGGTCCCGGTGTGCCCTGCTTCCCCGCGGTCTCCTTTTCCTCTCCTGGGATAAACCGTCCTCAGAACTCAGTGTGGTGTCCTTGGTTCTCCCTCCTGCCGTCGCTGTCCTCTTTCAGTGGCACAGAGAGGGCTTACTGTGATGCTGGGCGAGGAGAACTGCGGATCGGGAAGGGAGCAGCCTCGATGGGCACCGTGGCCTGGGCGAGCACTGCTGAAGCCACCAGGTTCCCATGAGCGGTACCTGTTGCAGGGGCCTCTTGGTCTCAGAGCCAGAAGAGAGGGAAGTCCCCTGCCTGAGGGCAGCCTGAGCCCCCAGGGCCTCCATCCTGGCTTCCAGACCAGGGTGTGCCCAGCCGCCCTTCTTGTGTCCCCATCTAAGATGGTCGATAGATACAGCGGCTGCAGAAGGGTCGTAGGGGAGGCACCAGCGCTGCCTCGGTTCGCCTGCTGGGTGTGGGGCTCTCAGGAGGCATCCACTGATCCACACCCAGGCACCTGCACGGTGGCCCTGCTGGAGAGAGGCGGGCCCTGGGGCGCTCAGGCCCACCTAGGTACCTGTGGTGAGGGAGTCGGCCAGCACTGCCCCGGTGCCTGGCCACCTGAGGCCTCAGGGCTGCTGTCAGGTTGCTGTCCACAGAGGGCTCAGGAGTGGCATGTGCTAAAATGCCCTCTGTGCAGGCAGGTGCCTCCCTGGCTCAGTCCCCTGCCCTGGCCTCTATTCATGGGACCATGCTGGGTAGGGAGGCCCTTGGCAGAGTCAAAGCTGCTCAGTCCAGTGGCCCAGTGCCCAGCACAATGACCAAAGGGCACCCTTCAGCAGCATCTTCTCCCCGCAGGAGAGCACCTGGCCGTACCTGTTTGGTGTGATCATGGTCCCTGCTTTCATCCAGCTGGTGAGCCTGCCCTTCCTCCCCGAGAGCCCTCGCTACCTGCTCTTGGAGAAGCATGACGAGGCCAGAGCCATGAAAGGTAGGGCCACTTCCCCTCGTCACACAGCTCTGCTTGCACACGGAGCAGGCCCAAGCTGGGCACAGGGAGGGCGCCACGTGAATCTTCTCTGCAGGCACCGTGCTGGGCAAAGAGGATACCTTCCTGCTGTGGAAGGCAGAGGGGCACCGGGAGTCACCTAGGGAGTCTGGAAAAGCCAGCTCAGACAGGTTAAGACCAGGTCCCCTGCTTTACAGCCACCTCCTGCTGGCATCCACCCCCAGAGGTGGAGCCAGTGGCCTTTCCCAGTGGCTTGGGTGTGTGGCCGCGCCCCTTGTCTTTGCACTGAAGGGCAGGAGAAGAGGGAGCTCAGAGCAAGTGCAGGGGCCTGAGTGCTCCTGTCCAGTGACCCTGGGGTGTCCCCGGTGGCCCTGTGAGGGAGGAAGATTTTTATAGGAGAGGATAATGAGGCTTGAGATGAGGACGGGGAGTGGGCTCAGGTCACTTCCTGAGGCCCCTAAGAGGCAGAGTGCTGGACCAGGTTCAGAGCATGACTTTCAGAATCAGAGATGTGCTGCAGAGACCCAGAGAAAATCTTTTTGCCCGGAGCTGGCCAATGCAGAATGGATGACCAAATTCTTATTCTTTTGGTTTATAAAACAAGACCGGCTGACAGTGCTGTAGTGAAGCTTGAGGGCTTGGAGCAATCGGGCAGCCTGTGTACCCCAGCTCGGCCTCTGACCTTGAGCAATTCACCCACCTGTCTGAGCCTGCAAACCCTGGTCTCTGACAGGAAATGCCATCAGCCTCCTTCAGGGGCTCTTGTGAGGACTGAGTTCACAGGAGGTTCAGGGCCTTAACTTCTGTCTCACTCCTGAGGACCTTGCCTGGTTTTTGCCCATAGTCTCTCCTCCAATCTAAATCTCACTACTGCCCATGCCCAGGGAAAATTCTGAGTATTATACACATAATTGTGCAACATCTTTTAAAACTTAAATTGTCAGAGAGACCCTAAGCAACTTAGTGAGACTCTGCCTCAAGATAAAAAATAAAAAGGGACAAGGATGAGCTCAGAGGTAAAGCACCCCTGGGGTCAATCCCTGGTGCCCACCCCCAAATTTAAACTACCTAAGTGTTTTTAAATTGACCAGTCTTAAAATGAAACATTAACCATTGTTTGTATTTATATAAACAATATTTATATTTATCAAGCAGCTATGGTACAGATCTTCAGATCTAGTTTCTTATCTATAACATTTCCTTGAAGTCAAGTCAGAGGACATTGTCATTACTTTCATTTTGCTGTTGAGGAAACAAAGGCTTAAACTAGGGTCACCAAGACTCTGGTTTGGGCTTATAGAGGCTCACAGAGGCCTTTGCTGGAAATGAATGCCCAGGGCCCGTGTACGCCGGCTCTCGCCTGCAGCTTGGAGATGGACTTGGGCCTTAAGCCCCGGGCTCCAGAAGCCACAGGGACCCTGGTTAACACTCTGCCCTGATTCACAGCCAGCAAGACAGGCGCCCAGGGGCTTTCCTCCCTGCCCTGGCAGGCACAGAGGCACACTGGGAAAGGGAGCTAGTGGGCGCTCTGGGTGACTCCCTGCAGCCAGTGGGGAGGAAAACCACGCCAAAGTGGGGCTTCCGATGGCTGGAGGCTCTGGAGTGAAAAGGAGGTGGCTGAAACAGAGCCCGGGGGACCCGGTTCCAGGAAGCAGCGGGCTTGTAGGGAGAAAGCAATCCTTCCATCAGAAATGCAGTCCCCTGCCCTGGGAGGGCCGCCCACCCCTGGCTCCCCAGGGAGGAGCCCTTGGAAATGCTTCCTCTAGCACAGAGGTGCCAGAGTGAGGAAGGCTTTAGAGGGTTCTTTCACAACACAGTAGGGGGGGAGTGCAGCTGTGAGACAGGATGGACATGATGAGCGTGCTTTATATAAGGAGCAAAAAATATCAGCGTTAGGTTGAAACAGAATCTTGAAATGTACATTTCCACTAATAATAATACCAATTCTGCTTTAGCAAACAGTAGATATTTACATGCCGGGCATTCTGCCAAGCAAGTGCAAAGACAGGGACATGAGATGGCACCCCTGCCGTCCAGGTGGGAGGGTGATGTGCCACGGTGGACAGACACACTCGTTCATGGCTCTCAGGTGCTGAGAGCTACTTGACTCTCAGCACTTTCCCCTGTATTAGCTCATTAAATCCTCACAACAGAGAAAGTAGGTCCCATTTTTATTCCTGTTCCACGTTGTGTCTGTGTAGTGCACCCCATAAAGATGTACAATTACTGCAAGTCAATTAAAAGTGAAAACAAATTACAGGAAGGAGATGCAGAAAAGGAGTGGCTGTTGATGGGGGTGGGAGTTTCTGGGGTTTCTGAGGACTGAGGAATGGGGAGGTCCAGGAACAGAGCAGAAGGTGGTACCCCGCGGAGCCCCAGCCCTCCTGCTGCCTACCAACCCTCTCCAGCCTGGTGCTGCTTTGTAGGAAGGGAGACATCATGACTGCAGCCTCCTCAATTGAAGGGCCCAGGGGTGGCTCCGTAGCCATACAGAACCGCCAAGCACAGGGAGACAGTTGTACACACTGGCCTTTGGGATTCTGCCTCACCTTGCATTTGAAGAGAGGGATTCTATGGCTAAAAGGAGTGTGGAGCCTTTGCTCTGGGGCTAGAGAATCTTCTTTAAATGTTGGGTGGAGAAATCGCCCCCTCCCCCCCTCAGCTCGACAAATCAACTGTTGTCCCTTATACCTGGGTGGTATGTGGATTCATCCACTAGGATGCTTTTATCCTTCCTGTCCCCTCCCATGTTTCCTTGTCTCTATCTTTATATTGTCACGTATGACCAGTGGGACAATGGCCCCAAATATGTTCATATCCTGATCTCCATAGCCGGTGACTATGTCACCTTGAATGACAGAGGGACTTTGCAGATGTGATAAGGATTCTGAGATAGGAGGTCACCGGGGATTAACTGGATGAGCCCACTGAAATCACAACCTTCTTGTACGTGGGAGCAGGAGGCAGAGAGTTAGGGAAAGTGACGTGATGCTGGTTGGGAGCAGAAACTCAAGAAAGAGAGGAAGGGAAGGAGAGAGAGGAGAGAAGATGCTGAGCTTTTGGCTTTGAAGGTGGAGGGGCCATGAGCCAAGGAAAGTGGGCAGCCTCTTGGAGCTGGGAAGTCAAGGACATGATCCTTCTTCAAGCCTCCAGAGGAATTCAGCTCTATTGTCCTCCTGATGTAGCCCAGTGAGTCCCACTTCAGTGTGTGTGCTGAAAATGACCCCCCACACACCAAGACAAATACGTCAGTCAAAGAGGGTTGATCCACTGGCGACTGGGTTTCAGGCTCAGAAACGTTCTGCCGGAATGTTGTGGTTCATGCATTTGAAAAGCCCCAGTGTGCATCTACTGCATCAAAGAGCAGTAAATGAGCATCTGTCTTCCTAAATCTAAAAATTCTCCTCCAATGCCAGCTTCATCCACTTACTTACAAACATTCATAGGATAATCGTAACATGACAAAGTGGGCTAAGCACACATCGTCCAGTGGGAGAAAATAAACATAAATAAATCGCCATCACCAAAATGCAGACACAGGTGCGGGGAGGGCAGGAGATTGCGCGAGGGATAACCTCAGAGGCTAACTCTGCCCTGTCCCCTCCCTAGTCACTTGCCTGCCAAATGTGCCCACTCAGCCAAGACAAGCCTCCAGGACAGAGGCCATGGTGCCCCGCTTCTCCCAGGCCCCGCTGCCAGGCTCTTACCTGGAGCCCCCCGTGCGTACCTGCACCCACCTGAGGGTGACCAGAGAGAAGAGGGATGCTTTTCCCTGTTGCTCAACAGATGGCGCTACTTCCTAAATTTGGGGAGGGAGCTGGGCAGAGGGAGGCACGGTCAGTTTGCCTCCAAGCTCTCAGGCTCTGTCTGCCGGCAAAGTCACCTACTCCCCCAAGGAGACCAGGGTCTCTCTGCTTTTGACCTTAAGGTGTGAGCCCAGATGGGTTAGCTAGAGAGGCCTCTTGTTGGCCCTGGACCCCTCCAACTTCGGCCACCATGCACCTCTTCTCAGACTCTGACCTCCCGCGCCCCTCTTCTCGGGATGCTTGTAATTGTATCATCGGGATCCGAGATGATCTCTCAGCTTATCACATCTGCAGAGTCCCTTTGCCACAGAGGTGACCTGCTTGCTGACCCTAGAGTTGGGATGTGCACTCTTTGGGGTGTCATGATTCTGCCCTGTTATCCAGGCTCTTTCTGTTTTTCCTGCAAGAACAAAGATGGGAAGTGACCTGGTAGTAAGTGTCCCTGCTCAGAGCTCCCATGGGACCCTTCCTCCTGGCTTCCAGGTCGTCTAAGGTTGGCCCCCTTGTGACACATGCCCCACAATGTGGGAACAGCATTTCTTGGTGCACTTTGCAGTTTAGCAGCAAACACCTTTAGGAAGCGTGGAGCAAAACCAAGACGACAAGCATCTGCTGCAGGACTTAATCAGAGCATTTACCATTCTAATGCGAAGTTTGAACCACCAGGGGGCAGTGCACAATGAAATTAAATTTTCTTGACCAAGGAATCTTGTTTACATGGAGCCTCTCCCAGGATTGGGATCCCAAAGAAAGCACATTAGGGACAGCCCGGTGCAGGGACAATAGTTTTTGTTACCTGGGCTCCTACATGTGGCACAGTGTCCAGAGCATAGTAGGTACTCAGTTAACATGTGCTGAGCGTTGACTGAATGCAGCCACAGTTTCTGTCAATTAGCCCAGACTCTCCTGTAACAGGCCTTCACTTTTCCCCAAGTGCTGCTGGCCCTTAGAACTTCTGGAGTCCATGACCTGTCTCTGGGGAGCCTGTAACCGTTGCCAGCCACTCAGTGGGGCCTCACAAAACAGAACCATCCCCTTCCAAACAATCCAGGCTGTAACAGGGACCGGCCTCCAGGAGAATCCAAGACTCTCCACTTGCTGGCTGTGGTCGAGCGACCCTGTAGTCAGTCCCAGCGACTCTGGAGGCTGAGGCAGGAGGATCACAAGTTCAAGGCCAGCTTCAGCAACTTAGTGAGACCCTGTCTCTAAATAAAAGATAAAAAGGACTGGGGATGTTACTCAGTGTGAAGCCCCTAGAGCCGGCTCCCCCGGCAGGAGGTCTGAGACTGCAGCTAGGGCTCCCACGCTTCCCCCAGGGAGTGAGGAGTGGGGAGGACAAAGACAAGAGAGGACTGGGAGGGCAGCCTCCGGGCCTCCTGCAGACCATGCCAGCCCACAGGGCAAGGCCTGGACACTCCACGAGGCCCCTGGGGGCAGGAATGGCTGGGCCCACGTACCCGGCCTTGCTCAGGCTGGGGACCTCTCTGAGAACGGCATCACCTGCACATCAGAGCTGAGGGGCTGCTCACTACACTAAGTGCTGGAGGCTGTCAGCCACACTCTTAAGCCAGCAGCCAGTCCCTGCCTGAAGGAGAGCATCCTGGTGTCTGTCATACCCGTCATTCAAGGTTCTCTTCCTTATCCAACATAGGGTCCTTCTAAGAGGGAGTGTGGAACAAGGGTAAACAAGCTATCTTTACTAATACATGTGCAACAGAAACTTTAAGTTGACGTTTTAGAATGCTGGGTGACTTCAGCAAGTCACTGTGCCCCTCAGGCCTCTGATTTCCCATTTCTAAATGAGCACTTGGGCCCCGGGGCTTCAAAGTCCCCAGACAAGGGTGCAAGTGGTGGGACCCGCACCTCGGGCTGCATCGGCCGTAGGACATCCTCGCCCTGCCCCCAGCCTGTGCCTGTCCCTGTTCACAGCCTTCCAGACGTTCCTGGGCAAAGCCGACGTCTCCGGAGAGATGCAGGAGGCCCTGGCCGAGAGCTGCGTGCAGAGGAACGTCCACCTGCTGTCCGTCTTGCAGCTGCTGAGGACTCCCTTCCTCCGCTGGCAGGTCATCACCGTGGTTGTCACCATGGCCTGCTACCAGCTCTGTGGCCTCAATGCGGTGAGTGCTGGGCCCCCTCCAGGTGTCGTGCACGGGAGCAGGAACTGAGGAGGGAGGCGGGTGGCTCAGGGCTCGGCTCTGGGTGCCCAGGTTCAGACCCAGCTCTGCCAGCCTCCACGAACTCCTCAGCACCGGGCAACCACAGGACGTCTCTGACCCTCGGTGTCCTCCTCTGTGGGATGGATACAGTGATGTGGAAGGAGACGCTCCAGGCACGGTGCCCAGTCCCAGGCCAGAGCCAGCCCCCGGTCAATGCCACTACCATCCTGGAGTCCTGCTCCTCAAAGAAACGGGCAATTAGGCAGTCACCACGGGGAGACGGGGAGACCCTGAGGTGACTTCCACAGAGGAGCGTCTTGGCTGGGCTGCCTCCCGCCCGCGACTCTGGCCTGGAAAACCTCCAGGCTCTCAGGGGAGCCCCTGGGCCTGAGCTGCTCTCTCCGGGGTTCCAGACCCAGCTGCCTGCGGCCACCCCTTCTCTCTCCAGGGTTCTGGAAGGCAGAACCCTGAACTGGAGAAGCAGGAGGAAGCTCTGGGTCACATGCCGCTTCTGGAAGGGTGTGTGGCCTCGGGGTGGCGAAGCCCCCACCAGGGGCTGCAGACGGGCTGGGCGCATGGGGAGGACCGTGCCTGGCCCAGAGGCAGCTGCCAGGCACCTCCCAAAGGCCCTGAGACTGGCGCTCTGCCTTCCACCAGAAGGAGCAGGAAGAGCCTGGTGCTTGGGTGCTGCCCGGACAGGGGGGGGAGGGCCACCGAGGGCTCCGGCATGTCCCGCCTGGGTCCTGGGTTCTGCCGTGGGACGCACAGGAGGGAAGGGCCTGTGGCCATTTGTTTCTGCCTTTTCTTTGGACTGGCGGAGTCACAGAGGTCACCAGGTCAAGGGCTCTGCGTAAACCCAGAGTCACCTGGGCAGGTCCCCACTTTCCCCTCCCCCAGCAAGGCCACAGCCACACTGGACGTCCAGGCCATGCTCCTTGGTCTGAGCAGGGAGGAAGGGCGTGCAGTGTCCTCAGCCACGTAGGAGCCTGAGGGCAGTGAGGCGCCCAGGCTGGGAAGACGCACTTGCAGACAGGACTCCCTCCTCCGCTGGGCTGGGCTCCCCTTAGCACCCGAGCAGCTGTGCAGACTCTGTCGGTCACCCAGGATGATGTGCTCCCCACGCCTGCCCCAGTGGTGGCCAGTGGCAGCGTCAAGCCCTGCTCCCTCCTCCTAACCCCTCCAACCTCTAGGTCAGCTCAGCTCTTTACAGGCCAGGGGCAGAGGCCTGGCTTCCTGCCCCCATGTGGCCATGAGCCTGCCCTGAGAAACCCCTGTCAAGCGTGTCCCCTCCCTGGCTTGGTGCCCTCAGTTGTACGTGCACATGTATTAGCAGGAGCCATCCCATGCCAGCCGTGTTAGTTAAGCCCCACTGTTAGGCACAGAGACATCAAGATGCTTTCCAAAGTCACACAGCTGAGAACAGTATGAGGAGGACTTAAGCTATCTGGCCCCAAGGTCTGGGTGCTTAAACCCTAGCAGGGAGGGTCACCAAGAGCCCCTGAGAGGATCCCCCCATATGTCACTCAGGCTGTCTCCAGCTGACCCCCAGGCACCCACGAAGAAAGTCCTGCTTCTTGCATTTGTGGTTGGAGCAGCAAGTGCCAGCCTCCAAGCTGGACCGTGCCCATCTGGGTCCAGGGTCTGCCCACACCTGCTGCCCTCCAGTCCAAACCCGAGGCCAAGGAAGAGAGCAACCAGATCGACACCACTTGTGCCCTGTGAACTGGCTTGAACCCTCTGTTTTACCAGAATTCACTGGGGACACGGCCTGTCCTTTGGGACCTTAGTCGACTCGGCCAGGTGCCTACCATTTGTCACCTTGCTCCAGCCCCAAGTGGTCCTGCAGGGCAGGTGGCACCATCCCCGTTCTCTGGATGAAGAAGCTGAAGGTCAGGGGCCTGCCCAGGGTCCCAGGCGTAGCACCTGCCCTGGCAAACTCCTCTCCAGGCCTGCGTCTGGGGCGACTGCTGGTGTCTCTGGGTCCCCAGCTCCAGGAACAGGCAGCACTTCTGAGCCTCAGGACCCGGGGGGCTGGGAACTTCACTACCACAGGGGCTGCAGGACGCCCAGCAGTGTCCTGGGCCTCTAACCCCTGGGTGCCAGTGCCACCCCACCACCTGTGACAACCAAAATGTCTCCAGAAATGCCGAGCACCCCGTGGGGGCAAAGCAGGCCCCACTGAGAACCGCAACCTAGACAAACGTGACTTTCATTCAGTGGCTCCGGCTGAAGCTGAATGGCCGTCCTGTGCTTTAGCAATCAGTGAAGTTGAGTTTAACAACACTGAGCTATTTCCAAAGTCTTTTTTCCTCTGTCACTCACAACAGCTTTCAAATCCCAAAGTTAGACCTGTCACTTAAAATCACTCACCTTAGGCTGCTGTCCTCCCGAGCAGCCTGGCGTCTGCGTGGACGCCGGGCTTCTGGCCAGCTCCTGCGTCAATGCCCTTTTAGCGCATGCCATTCCCAGGAGGTGGGGTTCTGTAAGGAAGACAGGAAACGTGGACGAAGGGTGGAAACCGAGGGGCCGCCTCATGCAGCTCCAACGGTGGCTGGATTGGATGTAGGACATAGATCAAGGTCGCACTGACCTTCCTCTTTCCTTTCCCACGTTACAGATTTGGTTCTACACTAACAGCATCTTTGGAAAAGCTGGGATACCCCAAGAGAAGACGCCCTACGTCACCCTGAGCACGGGCGGCGTGGAGACCTTGGCCTCCATCTTCTCTGTGAGTCCTCAGGGGGATTCCTGGGTGGGGTGACACAGGACCCAGGCAGCCAGGGTGGCCTTCCCAGGGGCACGCCCCCCTGTAGGTTGCCCTTGGGATGTCTGACCAGCTGGGAAGGTGCCCCTCTGTATTGTCACCTCCTGCTAACCCCTCCCCGGTCACAGTGACACAGTTCAACCCCTGTGCCTGAGGCCCTGTCCTCCCTGGGAGTTCAGGGTAGAAGGACCTGTGTGTCTCGGATCTCTTGCCCTGATTTTCAAAAAGTTCCACAATCATCATCTGTCACCTGGTCACCCCAGACAAGTAGGAGTTTAGGAAGCAGAGGAGGAAGGGCAAACCCCGTGCCGGGGAGGGCCAGGTGGGTAACAGTGCTCAGAGCGGAGACTTGGAACCCCACTCTTTCTCCACCAGTGTATGCTAAGTAATATTTGCGGGGATGGGGGCGGGGGAGGTCCTGGTAGAATCCGGAGACTAGGAGGAAATTGTCCAGGCTTTGGAATCCGGCCAGACTGGATTGAAGTCCCAGCTTCACGAACCATGAGCACAAACTCTCTGAGCCCGTTTCCCTCTTGATGCCTGCTCAAGTCCCTGGGGTCTCACTGGGTGGGTCCGCGTCCTGCATTTTAGCACACAGCACCTGGGGAGGGAGCAAGGACTAAACCAGAGAGCCATGCCCCCTCCAGGGGGCTGCTCCCCAGATGGAGCTGAGGGTGTTGATGCCCGTGCAAACAGGCAAAGCTCCCGGTCCTATTTCTGACTGACTTCACTCTATCTTGCTCCTTGTTCTTCTGGAGTCATTCTAACCCAATACTCCTGACTCCAGAAGCCGCTCCTTCCAGCCCCCCTCTGGCCAGCAGATGGTCCTCCTCCTTGTTAACAGCTGATATTGAGAGAATTCCTTGGAAGTACCAGAAGGAAGGGTCAACAGCTCCACCCCCCCGGAGAGGAGGAGGGACTAAGCTCAGGACTCTCCTGGACTCTGGAGGGTGCCCCTTCCAGCCCCTGTGCCTCCTCCAAGTGGCTCCACAGTGGATCTCAGCCATTTGGACCTGGGAAGGTTCGTGATGGTGCCCATCGGCAGCTCGAGTCCAGCTGATGACCTGTGCTGGGGTCACAGAGGGTCACTGCCATGGCACCTTCCTGTAGGAGCTCACAATCCAATGGAGGCTGCATGACCCAGGGTGGAATGAGGTCGTGCCTTCAAGGGCACAGCTCTGTGGACCCTGAGGGGGGAGCAACAACTTCCTCACTCTGGGGGTGGAGCCATGTACCCAGGGAACCTGTCCACTTCACAGTCACCCTAGTATCCCTCTACAAGGACTAGGGGTCACCCTCAAGTTGTAGAGATCTAGAGAGAAAGACTTGGAACAGATAACTAACGACTGCATGCAACACCGAGTCAGCTCCTGCGCGGAGCTCCAGGAAGGCTCCCTGGAGGAGGAGGGGACCAGGAAGCCTGGGGCTGAGGGAGCCCCAGGACTAGGGAGAAGGGGAGTGCACTGGGCAGTTTCTAAAGGACCTGGAGAGGCGAGGGCAGGTAAGAGCAGTCCATGGAGACTCCTTCCCCAGCCCTGGACACCCCGAGACCCCATGCAGCACAGTGCTGGGATTTGGGATGGACGCTCCTGCTGAGCAACTCTGAATGAAATCCCGATCCTCACTTACCAGCTGAGAGGTCTTGGGAAACTAACTGCCTGGCATCTCTGACTCTACTTGCTCATTTGCAAAATGTGCATGACTGTGGCCATCTGTGGTGGGCACAATTTTGGCTCCCAAAGAAGTTCACATCCGAACTCCAGGAAGCTGCGACTATGTCCCCTTGCATGGCAAAAAGGGACTTGCAAATGTGGTCAAGTTAGGGATCTCCAGATAGGGAGGTCATCCTGGATGTCTGGGTGGCCTCGGGGTTATGACGGGTTCTCTTAAGAGAGAACAGGAGGGTCAAGAAGAGAAGGAGGCGGGACCCTGGAAGCTGAGGCAAGAGGGAGGCCATCGCGGCCTTGGAAGATGCCCTCAGGAGCCGAGGAACTTGGGGACCTCTTGAAGCCGGGATGGGGTGGAGACAGATCTCCAGGAGGGACCAGCCTGCTAACTCGGTGATGTTTTTCCCTGGGGGATGCTACACGTGGGTTGTTCTAGGCTAATAAGTTGGTGGTCATTGCAGCAATAGGAGCTGCCTTCCGGTTGCCATGGAAACTAGATCCAAGGGTGTGAAGGCCACTCCCTCCTCCCTGACGGTCAGCACCCAGCGGATCCCTTGCTATTTCAAAGTGCTGCTGACCTTGTTCCCAAATCATTTGACCTTTCAAGTTAACCGCCTATCAAAAAGGACCTCTCAGTGTTTTTCATTCTCACTGAAATTCTGACGGCTCAATGCGCTGGCTCTGAGCTGGGGACATTGAAGAGGGAACACTTGCATCCCATCCGTGGTTTGTTCTGGCTGAGGCTGTCACTTGGCAGCTTGGCAGATGCACTAACTGCCACCCTGTGGGATGACTGCTACTCCAGGTTGAGTCTTCTGTGCGGCATTACTCTCCTGAGCAGTGGCCGTCCAGCGAGTGTCCTCCAGACCAAGCAGCCACGTGGGGCGGGGGTGGAGTTCACAGGAGTCCCTCTTATTCATGGCAGGAGGCGTTTGTAATGGAGATGGGGGGCTGCGCCCTAGGACTGAAGGCAGTAAATCCTTACTAGGACTCGCTGCCCGCAGTCCACCCACTCCCAGCAAATCCCATTTCAAAGTGAAAGCCTTCAGAGTTCACGCCTGAGGCTCAGGACATGGGATCGTGCACATGGGCCAGGAGAAAGTGGGCAGAGGTGGCAGAGCTAAGTGGTGGAGCGTTTGGGCTCTGTGGTTCTGACTTCCCAGTTGGTAGCCTTGGGCCAGATGAGTGGCCTCTCTGATTCCCATTTTTCCTCCTTGGGAACGTGAGGTAATAACAGTTCTAGGTGTTATTGTGAGAACAGGGCGATAATTCCCAGATCTGTGCACAGAACAGATGCTCAGTAAATGTGATCAAGCAGATACTTCATAATGCCAGTTATGGTTGAATTATCTCCATAAATTCACTTGTTGAAGTCCCCAAACCTCAGAATGTGACCTGATTTGGAAGCAGGGTCATTATGGATGTCACTGGTTAAGCTGAGGTCATACTGGACAAGGTGAGCCCCTGTTATGGTTTAGATGAGGTATCCACAAAAGCTCACGGGTGAGACGTGCAAGAAGGTTCAGAGAGACGACTGGGCTATCTCCTTAACCCAGACAGCGGATTAATCCCCTGGTAGGATTAGCTGAGTGGCCACTGAAGTGGTGGGCTGTGGCTGGAGGAGTGGGAATTGCAGCGTGGCTTTGGGTACATGTTGTGTCTGGCAAGTGGAGACCTCTCTGCTCCCTGACCACCATGTGAGCTGCTTCCCCTGACACACTCTGCCTCGGCCTCACCTCGAGCCCCGAGGAGCCGAGCTGGCCTTCTGGGGACTAAGACCTCGGAAACCCTGAGCCCCTAGACACACCTTTCCTCCTTTACAGTCATCCTGGCGTTGGGTCCTTTAGTCACACCAGTGAAAGGCTGGCTAAAACAGCTCACATTCCACATGCGTGTCCTCATGGTGTGGAGATGCACACACAGGGACAAGGCCAAGCGACTATCAGGGCTGAGCCGGCAAAAGACAGGAGATCCGGGAGCAAGGGCCCAGAGCACCCTCCCCAGCACCTTCAGGGGGGTCGCCAATGCATCCATCTCCTACCTCTCCTCCCTTCTGTCCTCTCTGGCCTCCACACGTCCCCTGGCCTGACAATGAAGAATGCAGGGATAGGCACTCGCTCCATTGGCAAGTGTTGGCTTGACACCTACTGTCAGGCATTCCTCAGGTTCTGGGGAGCAGGAGGAAGGTCCTGGCCTTCAGGTGTGGAAGCAGTGCCAGGGGGCGAGAGAGAGGCACACCAGCAGATGGTTGAGCACTCTTCGTCTCCGTGCTCAGGAGTTGGATGTCCAGGGGGACAGGGACAGTGGGATATTACAAAGTAGTGGCTTTGTCTACATCTAGTTTGGGAAATCTTAATGTCTCAAGAATCAGAAAAGACTTTGTGAATGATCCCAACTTTGCCACTTACGAGCTATGTGACCTGGGACAAGTTTCTAAAGTCTCTGTGCCTCAGGATTTTTATCCATATGCTGAGATAATTAATAGGAACTACTTTGTAAAGTTATTGCAGGTGTTAAATTAATTGATGCATGCCTGCCTCAAACATAGGTGCTCAGTAAAGAGCCACCCACTATTTTTATCTAGACTAAATGCATTGGCATCAGAAAATAGGAGAAATTAATTCACAAAAGTGTTGACCAACTTTTCCAAGGCCTTACAAACAGCTAGAGGCAAGAGCTGAGGCCAGACCCCTTGATTGACAGGAAGAGTTCGTCTTCTGCCCTGCCTTGGAAGCCCCTGTGGCCAGGAGCCTACTTCAGCCACTGTGCATTCTCTCCCTCTGATCTCAGCCCCTGCAAAGAGGGTGCTTCCATTCCCACTTTTCAGGTGGGGAAACTGAGGCTTAAATAAGCTCAGTCACCATCCTTATACAGGGACGGCTAGTGCAGGGTTAGGACTAGAACCCAGGTACTTCTGGACGTTGCCTATGCTGTCCTGTTGGCCCAGATTTTCAGAGGGCTGAGTCTGGAGGCCTGGGTCAGCTCTGCCCTGAGCCAAGCCTTTCGGAGAGGAAGTCCTTTCCCTGCAGGTGTCCATCAGCCAGGCCTGCTTTCCTCCTCGCCCTGACTTTCTGCCCCAGAGACACCCTCCTATCCCCTCAATGCCTTGCCTCAGTGATTGGGAGGCCTGTGGCCCCAGAAGCACCAGGTGGCCTGGTGGTCTGGCCTCTAAGCGGCCCACAGAGCCATGTCCTTCAAATGGGCAGCTGCCACTCACTACTTGGTGCCCGCTCACCAGGCAGAACGGCAGGCCCTGCTGAGCTCAGGAGAACACAGATTTGCCCAGATAATGTCTCATCACCCACCTCTTCAGAGCAGGGCGTGGGGCAAGAGGGAAAGTCAGAGGCGCTGATGTCCCTGCAGTGAGCCTCCCTGGGAGAGAGGCCCCAGGGCTTTGGGGCAGCTTGCAACTGTCCATTTCAGTGCTCTGGCTTTTGACCATCGCTGGAAGGCTGACGTGCTTGGCTTCTCCTTGTCCAAGCCAGATGGCCCTCTTGGAAGCGGCTCCCAGCCGCCAGGCCTTTGCCCCTCTGCCTGACAAGCTCCCTCCCTCTCTGCCAGCTATTGCCTCTTCCAAGAAGCCGTGCCAGATTGCTCAGTGAGCCAAACCATGAATTTCTGCACAGACAACCGAGATTCAGTTCCTGGCTCTCTCACTTCCCAGCTGTGTGGCATCTGCTGAGTTACTTCACCTTTCTGATTCTCTTCTCTTTTTGTGAAATGGGGATGGGAGGACGGCCCCCGACATAATCAGAGTACCTAATGTGTGTGCCGCGGGCAGTCTCGTTTAACCCCCCACCCCTCCAGGCACCCTTGTTGGAGGTGTTTTGGTTCTCCTGCCACATAAAGGCCCAGGCCTCTGGGAAACTGACCCTCCGGACTTTGCGGGAGGAGCGAAGGACAGCACCTTCTCCAGGCCCTGCTGCCTGTGCCCAGCCTCAGGATCTGACCCTCTGAAAGCTACACCCTGGGGGGCAGAGCAGGGGCCTTGGTGGCAGGCTGGCTCTGCAGGGGGAAGGGCTGCGGTGGCCACATCCTTCCCTGAGGCAGAGCAGGAGAGAGACTGCTGACCCACGCGGGCACTGGAAGCTTCTCTCCCTCCTTTCTTTGTCGTGAACACCCTTGCTCCTCCGGCTGTGGCCATGGAGGACGAGGCCAGGCTGTGTCAGGGTCAAAGCCAGCCTTGAACCATGGCCCACACGGGTTCTCAGGGCCGCTCCCCCCCTCCTGCTGTGAAGGTGAATAAGAGCGAGCTCTCATTCTCTCTCTCTCTCCCCCTGGACTAGGGCTTGGTCATCGAGCGCTTGGGACGGAGACCCCTCCTCATTGGAGGCTTTGGGCTGATGGCCCTCTTCTTCGGGGCCCTCACAGTCACGCTGGTGCTGCAGGTGAGTGGGTGCAGCTGCCACCTCAGGGGAGGTCAGCTTGGAGCTCCTTCCTGGCTTCAGCACCTCGGGTCCTTTGGTCTGCAGAGCCCGTCTGCCTCCAGGCTGCCTGTGATACAGCCCTCCTGAGGGGTCAGCTCCAGAGCAGCCGGATGGTCACCAGAGGCCTGGCTCTGGTCCTGTCATGGCCACTGATGAGCTGTGTGATCTTGGGCAAGATATGACCCTCTGAGCCTCAGTTTACCCATCTGTGGGATAGAGGAGATTGCACAGATGACCCTAGGATGCCCCTTCCAGCACAGGGCGCCATTAGGTACCTCTCCATTGCCACCCTGTAGCCTGGAGTCACCCACAGGGGCCCTGGAGCTGGACCACCTGTGTGTGAATCCTGGCTTTCCCACTTGCTCACCCCGAGACTCGGCAAGCCACTCACCCTATCTGCCCCTCTTGGGGCCTCATCTCTAAAATGCAACCCTTGTCCCTATACCCTGGGGTGCTGCAGGGGTTGAATGAGACAAATGCTTGCTGAACACACGGTTTGCAGGACAGATGGCGATGCTCTTCATCCTTGTGAGTTTATCGTTTTCTCCTTTTGTGGACGTGAGAAGCCCCCAGCAGGCACGTAGACAAATGAGCAGAGCTGGGGATGGATCCAGAGTCTTGGGTTCAAGCCCCACTGACCCCTGTGCCGTTCAGGGCAGCTCACATTAACTGGGCACTTACTTGATATCTAAGCCAGTCTGTTGGCAGCAAGCAGCATCTGTTGGCATTTTTCTAGAATGGATCTCAGTGTTGAAGTGGTACATGTTTCTCATCGGCCAGATGTCCCAAGGTCCCAACGTGTCTAGAAGAGGCGATTGTAGCATAGTGGGGTCCAAGGGACCTTCAGAGGGGAGGCGATAGGGAATGTGCTGACCAACAGGAGGAGGGGACTTCTGGCAGGTTGGTTCCCTCCCATGGCCAGGCCCGAGGTTGTCCTCAGTGAGGGTGGCCAGGCAGGCTCCTGGACCTCAGAGGTTCTGAAAAGCCACAGGGGCAAGGTGCTGGCAGAGTCTTCCTGCTGCCGCATCAGATGCTCAGGGGCTGCAGCACACGCCCCCTCCAAGTCTTGCTTCACAAGGGTCCAGAGCTCTCCTACTGGCCACCCTGGCCTCCAGGGCCACTCCCCAGCCAGATAAGTAGCAGCCCATCCAGACACCTTCCACGGTGTGGATAAGCTCCCCTCCTACCTCACAGGATGGCAGGGTCCCAGTGTGGTGCTGCAGGTAATGAGAGGGACAATTGAGAGGACTGTTTTGCGTGTGATGACTGTAAACATTCTCCCACTGGCTGCTTCAGGCAGCACCCTCAGTCAGCGGAGCTGTTCCTGTGCCCAGGGCTCTAGGGACTCTGCCGGCGCCATCTCATTGCTCCTCCAGGGGTGGGAAGCCAGTGGATGAGATGTTCTGAGTAGTCCTCATTGTCTCCATGTCATGGATGTTGAAAATGGGACACACAGTGGCCTGTGGTGGTCATGCAGATGCACTGAGCGGGAGGGGGGCCAGGTCCTCCTGTCACACCCGGCCTCGTCCCCAGCCTGCATCGCATATCCTCCCGCAGGACCATGCCGCCTGGATCCCTTACCTGAGCATCGTGTGCATCCTGGCTGTCATCGCCGCCTTCTGCAGTGGCCCAGGTAAGGCCTTCTGCCTCACACCTGGCCCCAGGCTCGTGACTGCAGCCAGCCGAGGGCTGGCCTCACAGATGGGGAAACCAGGACCCAGGCAGGGGAAGGATGGGGCCCTGCCTTCCCCTGAGCCTTAGTAAACAGGGGGCTGCCTTCATTCCACCCAGAGAGGGCCAGCAAGTGCTGACCAGAGGTGAGTGGACAGCACCGTACACAACGACAGCTCTCTGAGGACTGTGGGCCAGACCCAGGGCTGGTTTGTGGTGAACCAAACCTGGCTGAGGTGTGCTCTGCCCAGGGAGAAGTCGTGGTTAGTGTGGAGGAGAGAACAGTGAGGTGTCTACAGTGGACTAACGCACACTAGGTGTGTTAACTCACTTCAGACCCTGGCCATTTAGAGGAGGCAGAGGCAGAAGGTGACTTTCAGGAGTGAGCAGGTGAGGGTGCTGCCTGGCAGCAGACTCAGCCCTAAGCACCACCTTGTGTGGGGCCTGTGTGAGTCTGGGGCATGGAGGATCCTAGCCCCGCTTGGTCAGGACTGCCATTTCCTGGCCACGGGTCATTGGGAAAGGCCTTCCTCTTCTTGAGCATTGGTGTGCCCATCTATAGGATGGAATGCTACCGAGGGCTGTGCCACTCCTTGGTCCTGTGTCCACGTCCAGTAGAGGCCTCCATAGAGGTCAAGGTAGGGCGAGAAGGTGGGCCGGGGCAGGGTCTGACATGGCTGTGAGCTCTCGCCAGGAGATGATGTTCGTGGCTCTTGGTTTTTATTTCTCTGTTGATGAAAAGACCAACTTTCCATCAAAACCAATGGGATTGAACTTCTGTCTTTGTGCTGCTGATTTTCATGGTCCTCATGTTCTAGATTCTGTCATGTTTGTGATGGATGAAAAGAATTTGTCCCTGTCCAGGACATTGGGTGGCATAATGAGGTGGCAGAGTGGTGATGCAGTGGTTGGGGAGGGCAGCGGGCACCTGCACACATCCATACCATGCCAGGGGCTGGTCGGAACAGCCGAGGCAGCAGAAGCCACCTCCCAGGTGGACAGAGAACAGCAGGTGGATGTGCAGCGGCTCACGTGGGGTTAGCTGGGGATTCAGGAGTCGCAGTGCCTAGACCACAGCGTGTCTCCCGCTAATAGAAAACAGGTCCACGAGAGGCCTTGTCTGCCATCCTAATCTTGTCCTGAGAAGCTAGAACTGTGCCCAGGACTGAGGAAGAGCTTCATAAAGGTCTTTTAAATGAAATAACTGAGGGAAGGCTGGAAGGGGCCGTAGCTGTTGTGAGCGGGTGAATGGTGGAGCCTGACCTGGCGACAGGATCTTCCAAAATGAAGCCTCGGGGGAGGGGGGGCATGGAGACCCCCGTTGTGTGATATCCTTGGAGCTCCAAGAAGAGGCTGCTGGGGTTTAATAGCATCAGAAAAAAAGGTGAAGCCAACGACACCGATCGCATGTAGCAAAGGGGTCAGTGGAGCTAGTTCAATTCTTCATTAGAGAGAGAACAGCAAGAAGGTTTCGATCCATTCCACATGGATTTCCAGACTCTGCTGAGCACCTGGGGGAGGGGACAGCAGGCAGAGGCAGGGAGGTAGGTGAACTCCATGTGTGAAGCCCTAACATCAACCTTCCTTCCACCTCGGCCGGGAGCTCCTTCACTGCCAACCTGAAGGGTGGTCTTGGGACTTCTAACCAAACTTACTCACTTAAAAACAATCCCAAGGCACTGGGGCTGGGGCTCAGTGGTAGAGCGCTCACCGGGCACGTGTGAGGAACTGGGTTCAACCCTCAGCACCACATAAAAATAAAGATACTTACAATGAAAAAAATATACATTATACATATTTTTAAAAATCCCAAGGCCACTGACCAAGAACAGTAATCCTTAGTAGCACACTCAAGCAATGTGCCTTGAATGCTTGCTACGTGTAATCTAAATTCTGAGCCACTTGAACAGCTCGTATTAGTCACTGTAGCATGAAAACATGTGCCCAAGCGGTGGTGGCTCAGCACAGCAGACATCCATTTCCTAGTCACGTGACCGTCTGTGGCTGTCGCCCCAGGCAGGTGGGTGGCCTGAGTCCAGGCCCCTGTTGTTCTCTGGCTCTGTCAGCCCTGGGGTCTCATAGTCTGCTTATCCAGTAGGCAGGAGGGGGACGGACTGGGCAGAGAGCTTCCTAGAAGCCTTGGCCCAGGGAACCCTTCTCGTCCACTCCTGTTCCAGCACGTCCCCTGGCCTGACCTAGATGCAGGGTCTGTGCTACAAACACCACCTTCCCAAGAAGCTCAGCACTGGCCTGAGATCTAGAAGGTCCTCAGCAAGGGTGTGTGGATGGTTTAATTATGACCAGGGAACTCTGAGAGAAGGGGCCAGGCAGATGCTGCCACAGCGGAGAGCAGTAAGGTGTGGACAGCAGAGGTGCTGAGCCCACAGGGTCACCCAGAGTGATCAGCTCCACTGGAGGCAGGGGCTTGGGTGTGCCCAGCCCTGTCCTGCCCTCTGCTGAGTCCTGGCCAGGCTTGCTCAGTTTCCACTCACTCCAGCATCAGGGCACTGAGCGTTCTTGAGCACTGACTTCAGCCCACACGCTGCCCTGGCTGGCCTGCACCCGTCACCCTAGACTGCATGACAGCCTTGCAAATCAGGGCCAACCCCTCCTTTTACAAGGAGGATGCTGAAGTCCAGAGAGGTTGCAAGGCTCCCCTAGCATGGAACAGCTAGTATGCGTTGAACTTGGGATTTGAACCCAGATCTTTAAAATCTTGTTCCTTTCATTCCACTACAAAGCATAAGAACTTGAATCCAGGCACTGCCCTGAGCTTCCCTTCACATGTTCACATCTGTTCCTGTCTTAATCTGTTGTATGTTGCCTTTTTTTGTTTGTTTTTAAGTGTGTGATTATTTTTTATTTGTTAACTAGTTATCCATGAAAGTAGAATGCATTTTGACACATCATACATAAATGGAGTATTACTTCTCATGACGTAGAGTCACACCAGTCATGTAATCATGTATGTGTATAGGGTAATAATGTCTGATTCATTCTACTGTCATTCCCACTTCAAACCCCCTCACTTCCCTCCACTCCCCTCTGCCTATTCCAAAGTACCTCTATTCTTCCCTATCCCCTCTCCTTTATTGAGAATTAGTATACACATATGAGAGAAAAACATTCAGCCTTTGCTTCTTTAGGATTGGCTTATTTCATTTAGCATAATATTCTCCAGCTCCATCCATTTACTGGATAGTGCCATAATTTCATTCTTCTTTAAGACTGAGTAATATTTCATTGTGTATGTATACACCACATTTTCTTTATCCACTCATCTTTTGAAGGGCACTTAGGCTGGTTCCATAGTTTAAGTATCATGAGTTGAGCTGCTATAAACATTGATATGTCTGTGTCACTGTAGTAAAGCATAAGAAGTAAAATCAAGAATCAATAAATGGGATGGATTTGAACTAAAAAGCTTCTTCTCAGCAAAGGAAGCAATCAATAACATGAAGAGGGAGCCTACAGAATGGGAGAAAATCTTTACCACCTGTACCTCAGGTAAAGCATTAATCTCCAAGATATATAAAGATCTCAAAAAACTTAATACCAAAAGATGATAATAACCCAATCAATAAATGGGCTAAAGAACTGAACAGACACTTCACAGAAAAAGAAATAGAACTGATCAACAAATATATGAAAAAATGTTCAACATCTCTAGCAATTAGAACAATGCAAATCAAAACTAGTCTGATTTCATCTCATTCCAGTCAGAATGGCAATTATCAAGAATAAAAGCAACAATAAATATTGGTGAGGATGTGGGGGAAAAGGTTCACTCATACATTGCTGGTGGGACTGGAAATTGATTCTTTTTTGTAAGCATTTGTTGATTCTTGAATTTACTTCTTGCACTTTAGAAGTCTTGTTAGGGAAGTCAATTCCTAAGCTGAAATAGTGGAGATTTGGACCTACTTTTTCTTCTGTTAGGCACAAGGTCTCTGTTCTAGTGCCTAAGTCCTTGATTCACTTTGAGTTGAGTTTTGTGCATGGTGAGAGACAGAGGTTTAATTTCATTTTGCTACATATGGATTTCCAGTTTTCCCAGCACCATTTGTTGAAGAGGCTCTCTTTTATCCAATGTATGTTTTTGGCGCCTTTGTCTAGTATGAGATAACTGTATTTATGTGGGTTTGTCTTCTATTCTCTATCATTGATCTATGTGTCTGCCTGGTACCAATACCAGGCCATTTTTATTACTATGGCTCTATAGTATAATTTAAGGTTTGGTATTGTGATGTTTCCTGCTTCACTTCTCTTGCTAAGGATTGCTTTGGCTATTCTGGGTCTCTTATTTTTCCAAATGAATTTCATGATTGCTTTTTCTAATTCTATGAAGAATGTCATTATAATTTTAATAGGAATTGCATTAAATCTGTATAATGCTTTGGGTACTATGGCCATTTTGACAATGTTAATTCTGCCTATTCAAGAGCATGGGGGACCTTTACATCTTCTAAGGTCTTCTTCTATTTCTTTCTTTAGTGTTCTGTAGTTTTCATTGTAAAGGTCTTTCACCTCTTTCATCAGATTGATTCCCCATTTTTTTTTGAAGCTATCGTAAATGGGATAGTTTTCCTGACTTCTCTTTCAGTGGATTCATCACTTATATATAGACTACATTTGATATATGGGTAGTGATTTTATATCCTGCTATTTTGCTGAATTCATTTATTAGTTCTAGAAGTTTTCTGGTAGAATTTTTTTTAATCTTCGACATATAGAATCATATCATTGGCAATAGGGATAGTTTAAGTTCTTCTTTTCCTATTTGTATCTCTTTAATATCTTTCTTCTGGTTGCCCTTGCTAGGGTTTCAAGGATGATGTTGAATAGACGTGGTGAAATAGAGCATCTCTGTCCTGTTCCGGTTTTTAGAGGGAATGCTTTCAATTTTTCTCCATTTAGAATGATGTTGGCATTATAGCTTTTATACTGTTGAGGTATGTTCTT